AAAAGAGGATCAGGAGAAACCAAGCTATTATTTTAATGAAGGGGGCAATGAGATAGCGATCAAGCGCCTCTGATTGAACCGTGTGAGGCAACCAAAGTGAGTTTTTGAGTAGGAACACCATACAGGACTTTCTTTTCCATCTTATTCTTCCTCGATACAAAATAGATAAAACCTAATGGAGTTTTTCTTCTTTCCCTTTCTTTCATGTCTCTCCAAGTGGTATGACAATGAATGAAGAAACCCAAGTAATTTTAGCATGCATATGTCTTATACTAACTAGAATAGTAAAAAGTTTGAATAGCAATTGCACATCTAAAAGTGGGTAATCTCATTTATAAATCCAATTAATCTTCCCTTCTAAAATTGATGCATTTGATTGATTTATTTATGATTTGTTCTCCTTTATATGATTACATATAAAATGATGTTCCTTTATATGATAACACATAAAATGAAGTTATCTTTACAAGATTGTTATTTCATTTTGTAAATAGTTTTGTAATAATTTGTCTATTCTCATTGTGATTAACTCCTCATATTCCTATAAATCACATATGTATGTTTGCAAGTCTATGGTTCAAATGCTTGTATAGACTCTATAATGTATCATACAATGTCTTATAGATAGATTTAATGTATGTTAGCGCTAATGCAAAAGAAATGATATATACAAATACTTGCATGTGCATGTTGAAATATAAATCCACCTCTTTATGGTATTAGTTGGGGGGGATGCTTGTACTTAGTACCTACTCATTGATAGTGTTGTCTTCCATGACTTTGGTGACGTGATAGGCTTGGAAAAATATTATTGATATTAAAGTATCATAGTGATCCATAAAGTTTAGATGATACAAAAGAGATTGATGAATAACAAAAGAGATTATGTGTGCATCCGATGCGGGACGCCTTTAATAAGTATACATGTAATAGTAGTTCATGTATGAAAGATAGTTTTAAATTCTTTTGTACAAAAGATAGTTTTAATAGGTATACATCCAATCCTCTACCAGGTAATTCTAAAAAGTTTATTCTTGAAGCTACTTTGGATTATGAGAATGTGCCCAGTACTAATGGTAAACTCAATCGGCAAAACAAACTTTTTTGTGATGACACAGATTACTTTGTAGAAAGCAAAACATTATCATAATTTGCTTATTAGTATCACATGCTAAATTCATCGATGCTGATGTAGGCAAGGGGGGGTCAAATCAAATCCTAAATTTTGGTTTTGACTTTTCTTGGGCTTGCTAGCTCATTAATATTTTGAGCTAAAATCTAGTTCATTATGAGCTGTTTTTTAGTTCATTTATTAAAGAATTATTAGCTTCATTCCCCTTTTTCCTGTATCTTTGGTTTCTTCGTGTGTCTCTTTGATTTCCCCCACTTGTCTCTTCTCCTCCCCTTTGTCTTCTCGTTTTCATGTGCTTGTTGATTGTCTCGTGGCTTTGCCCCTTTGGTTCCCATGGCTGCTGCTTGGTTTCTGCGGCTAGCTACTTGGTTCCGTGCTGGGCTGTTCGGTTCCGCGGTTTTCTGCTTGGTTCCATGGGTTTTCTGCTTGATTCCCGTGAACTCCCTTCTCTGTTTTGCTGTGTCGTTTGGGAATTGTTGAAGTGATTGTTGACCTTTCTTTTCCCTAAATCTAATTGGCTTATTTGGAGGTGTTATGGCTGTTTGGTTTCCCTCTTTTGCCTATATATAGAAGATGTTTTTGGATGGTTGAGGATGGTGAAAATTATGATTTTTGGAGATAAAACCTGAGGGTTTTTTGGAAAAGCTTGAGAGCTTTGTCCACTTCTTCTTCTTCTCTAGCTTGGGATAACTTGTGAGTTACTCTCCGACTTCGACTAGTCTTCTAATCTCTTTCGTCTCTCCGTAAGTTCCCTTCCACATGTATCATTCTTCTCAAAGCAACGAATGGAATGCAACTTTAGGTGTTTTTAATTTGTGTTTGTGTCAAGTTTGTAAGTGTCAAGAGTTGTAGGAGTCTTTTATTATAAAAAGTTGTCTTATTTCTTATTTTGTCTATTTTGTGTAATTTTCTTTATCCTAGTAAGGTATTGTTTTTCTAGCAAAAAAATTAGGGGCCTCCTAATTTTTTTTCTTGCATCAAATTGGTATCAAAGCAAGTTCTTATCCCGGTCTGACGAGTAAACTCTTGGTAAGTCATAGCAGTTGTGTGAATCTTGTTTTGTTGAGTCTTTTTAGAAAAATGGAAAATCAACATCAGCCAAATAATCCGGTGGTGGAAGAAAATTATCTAGAAGATCGTGAAGTCCAAATTCTAATGGATAGATGGGTTCTAACGGAAGGAAGTTCAACTGATCCGCTACAAAATGAGTTGTACAAGCTTCAATATCACATGTTCTTATGTGATGAGAAATTCAAGAAAAAGAAGAAATTTCTTCAAGACCAATTCGAGAAAGAAAAAGAAAAAATCCTGAAGAAATTTGAGGCTAAGATTCAAGAGTTAGATGCACTCCCACCGTCTCCTCGGATCAAATCAAAAGACAACTCATCGGGAGATGAGTTTTTCAAGTAGGGGAGTCTGATGTAGGCAAGGGGGGTCAAATCAAATCATAAATTTTGGTTTTGACTTCTCTTGGGCTTGCTAGCTCATTAATATTTTGAGCTAAAATCTAGCTCATTATGAGCTATTTTTTAGTTCATTTATTGAAGAATTATTCGCTTCATTCCCCTTTTTCCTTTTTATTTGGTTTCTTCGTGTGTCTCTTTGATTTCCCCCACTTATCTCTTCTCCTCCCCTTTGTCTTCTCGTTTTCCTGTGCTGGTTGATTGTCCCGTGGCTTTGCCCCTTTGGTTCCCATGGCTGCTGCTTGCTTTCAGCGGCTAGCTGCTTGGTTCCGTGCTGGGCTACTCGGTTCCGCGGTTCTCTACTTGGTTCCGTGAATTTGCTGCTTGGTTCCGTGGGTTTTCTGCTTGGTTCCCGTGAACTCCCTTCTCTGTTTTGCTGTGCCGTTTGGGAATTGTTGAAGTGTTTGTTGACCTTTCTTTTCCCCAAATCTAATTGGCTTATTTAGAGGTGTTATGGCTGTTTGGTTTCCCTCTTTTGCCTATATATAGAAGATCTTTTTGGATGGTTGAGGATGGTGAAAATTATGATTTTTGGAGATAAAACCTGAGGGTTTTTAGAAAAGCTTGAGAGCTTTGTCCACTTCTTCTTCTTCTCTAGCTTGGGATAACTTGCGAGTTACTCCCCTACTTCGACTAGTCTTCTAATCTCTTTCGTCTCTCCGCAAGTTCCCTTCCACATGTATCCTTTTTCTCAAAGCAACGAATGGAATGCAACTTTAGGTGTTTTTAATTTGTGTTTGTGCCAAGTTTGTAAGTGTCAAGAGTTGTAGGAGTCTTTTATTATAAAAAGTTGTGTTATTTCTTATTTTGTCTATTTTGTGTAATTTTCTTTATCCTAGTAAGGTATGGTTTTTCTAGCAAAAAAATTAGGGGGGGCCTCCTAATTTTTTTGCTTACTTTTTGCTTGCATCAGATGCCTTTTTTTTTAATCCGCATAAACTAATACAAAATTGTAGCCCTCCATTGTGATGCTACACATTCTATCCTCCTAGATGTTGTTACTGCTATACAATCCTCTTATTTATTGTTACTATTGGTTACGTAATCTTGCAAGTAATTTTTACCTCCCAATTATTGTTACTATAGTTATCTTGCTACATGCAAGTGTTGTTGCTGCTACTATTGCAGTCTAGTTGTTGGATCGTCGATTGATATTCAGGGATACACATCTTCAGCCACTAATTGCGGAATATTTATTTTCTAACTATTTGTAGTTGCTCCCCTTGCTCGTCTGTTCATGTTGCTTTTTTTTTTTTTTTTGGATAAGTTTAGGCTTCCTTTTTTTTAATTAGATTTTGAATAAAATCACATTTGAAGTTGATAGCTATCAGGAATTAATCAGGTCAATCTTATGCCAATAATATCTATTAAACTAAGGTTGAAGAGCCTATAAATGTCAGATTTGTGGAATGTAATATCACAACTTTAATTACATAGAATTTCTTCTTTAGTTTTAATTTCGTGTGCAAGTTAGATGCATGATTCAATTACAATACAAGTGTGATCACCTAATTTTAGAGGAAATCATCACATGGAGGTATGAGGCCTGGGTTTATTACTTCGATAAATAGTTTTTTTATCTAATTTATTCTACATAACATGTTGACATGATAGTGTTCCGAATGTTGTTAAAACTTTACACAAAAGGTATTTACAAGTGCTCATTAGTTTTACCTAGTTTAAATTTCTAGTTGATATTTTTGAATTTATTAGATGATAGTGTTTATTGTTTGAATTATAAGCATTATGCTTATTATTTTATATTTAAATAAAGAAAAATTTTGGCATGTTTAGCAGTAAGTTATATGTGATCCAAATGCATAAACATCATCTATATGCATTAGAAAACACTGACCCTAACCATCCTAGATCAAAGAGGTTGTTAAACCATAACTTAGAAATTGGCCAGACCAAAATCAATCTCAGTACCAATTGAGGGAACATCATCCTTGAATTTGGATGCAAACAATCAAAGTGTACCACGTCAAATTAGCTGAGGAGCTGATCTGAAAACTGATTAGGAAAAATAAGCCCTAGGAACTAAAGAATTAGAGAAAAGCATTCAAATTCAACAAAGGCAAAAGGATAAAAACAAAAGAACCACTTATTTCATTAAAGAAAAATGAAAACCAAGCAGTTGCAAAAATGATCAAACCTCATCACGCACCAAGAATCTCTCTTTAGCCAAGGAAAAAAGCAATGCTCTTAACAAAGTTCAAGGTCAGCCTATCTCAGTATTCCCGGCACTACGACAAATTCCTAGAAGTTACAGAGAACATTCATATTGGCCTAACCTTGACCACATCATTTTAAACATTACGATTCTTGTTGAATTCAAAAACATATTGGTTAAAAGCAAATATTTGTTAGAAGCTGTTTACTGGAGAAAGTATCAAAACATTTACCTGTTCTACTGTGGCATTAGATCCATAATGCATTTCTTTCCGTGACAAAGCCTTTACTGCTGCCATAAAGGATTGAACCTACATGCAAAACTCAAATTTATCCTCATGTTGCAGGTATATAAAAGCATATATTAACCCAGCTGGGTCCTTAAAAGTTTCAAAAGTTCAAAATATAATGGTCTGATAAAATAATAGGACTACCTTTTCAACCACAGATGTTAGCTTAAAAGTTAGATACAGCCCTGTGGTAAGGGAGGAGAAGAGGCTGCCGTATTCCTTGTTCAGGAAGAAACGATACCAAACTGGTGTTGGTAATAATGCTCGATACAACAGTACTAGATATTCCACAATGGTTAGCAATTGACCCTATTAGACAAATGAAGCATCAACAAGCATCAAGCATAATCGACCATGTTCAATCATCTCGACAAAAGTAAAATTACAGCAGCCAAACCAGTAATGCTTAGTTTTTGAGGACATAACGAACAAGAAGCAAATAATAATGATTCATTATAAATTCTAATAACTAGAAACCCAAAAAAAAAATCATAAACATATAAGATCAACTAAGACCATGAAAACTAGTAAAAGCAATGATTTTCATCCTAAAAATAACCAAAAATCTATGAACCAAAAACATCTACATCCAATGAAGTGTCTACATTCAGCTTTACCAGCTGTTTTAAAGGGTGAAAGTTGTAAAACCAAAAAAGACAGTTGATCATTGCAAAGTATATGCTAATGTATGCAATGTAAGGCAATGACAACTTACAAAAAGACTTGAATGCAACTGCCTACTTTGAAGCATGAAATATCATTGAAGGCTGCGGACATAATACATCATCAGTGAAGCATAAAACATCAATTATTCAGGATTAAATTTATGAATTTTCAATTTTCATTCATTCCTGATGAATTTTGCCTGAGGTATTAAATTTATTCTTGATAAATTACGCTAGAGCAACTTCTACCAACATAAACTTACGTGCTAAACCTATTCTTCCCAAATCATTATAAATAAATGTTACCTTGAGTCTACTACTCCTTACTAATTCTCCGACAATAATTTTTTATACTCTTCCAAGATGTGAATTGTCACTGTTTAATTATACATCTCCAAACTAATTTAATTTATTTTCAATTACCATCCTCAAGAGATGACTCTAATTATATCTCCGATATAAAAATCCCTTAATTTATCTCTATTTAATTTTGCCACATATACATCTAAATATTTACATATCTTCCACAGTAAACTTACATATTATCGATTTTTACTATCCAACATTTGAATTCATACAACATTGGCATCTTACTTGCAATTGTGTGAAGCTTAACTTCATATCTGCATAATATCCTCTTATCAAAAAAACAATCATGGAACTTCTCCATTTTAATTACTCAATTTTAACTCCAAAGACTATTTTATTCATAACTAAAATATTTTGTATAATATATCTAGGATACTTAAATTTAATATACCAAGGTGTCGCTATATCTCCAAATGATACGGATTGATAATTTTTAATACTACATCAACTAAAATTACAAAGCATATACACAATTATTATTCTACTAATTCTAATCCCTCCATCTCTAATTATTTTTTCATACATTCTAAAAATCTCATAAATTAAAATGGTAATTCATTAAAAGCACACATCAAGGCAACTCACTTTGAACATAATTTATAAGCATCTCCATAAGCAAACACATGAACTCCAAGATTATCATTAATGAAGTTCTACTATAATTAGAAACTCTATCACTCCACAATTACTTTTGATATTGGTTAATACTCCATCTTTTTAAAACTTCAATAAACCTTTGAAACACCCCTTTTGCCTTAATGAAGGCTAAACTAATTTTAGTGAAACCAATCACATGTCATATTAAGATTAATAAAAATCATATGAAAATCCTTCATTTTCTCTATATACTTTTTTTATTTACTATATTAACATAAACTTACTTCTATAGCAGATCTTCCTAGCAGGTTTGAAATTAAGCATTTGGATATTGAGGTATTTTATGTCCTTGAGGCGAGGAGGAAGCCTTAGAATCAACAACTCGTGCAAAATGAGTAATATATTAACATCAAAGTATGAGGTAAGAAGTGTTATACTAACATCCTAATATTAAATCATGAATAAGTTTCATATAATGATACAAACACCAAAATAAGATAGTAAGTCAAAGTAAGTTCATCACAATACATCTCTCACTCCCAAATCAACAATAACAAGTAAAATAAGTCAAGATTAAAATTCAATATTCATCATCTCTCTCATTAATTAATGAATATTAATTAGAATCATCACTTTAATGAATTATTTTCTCTCCTGTCTCATCATCAAGTTGTATAAATATCCTCCCATCTCTGATCTCAACCATCTTAATTTTCCCTCATCAATTAAAAATCAATAAGAACATTAATTTAAATTTAAAACAATGACTATGTTGATAGTTACAACTTCAATTACATAACTTTTTATAACAATAATTTCTATTAATTCTTATTGACTTGTGTTGGACATGTTGATGCCGCAGCACCTGTCAAGGATTGAAAACAGAGAAGCAAGTAATAACACAAGCTAAACAGATAGCTGTAGTGATTTCTAATGATCAATAATAAAACCTGCCTTTCTTCTCTACAGGGAAGCTCTAATATACTATCAATATATTCCTATACTAAATAAAGTATGAAAACAGAAAAAGTGGATTTCTGTACTATATAACTAATAAAGCTCAAAAGGTAGTGGAGCTCAAGCAAGTAACGGCATAAACCAGAAAGGTAAGATAGTACCCGTAACACTATAAAGATATAGTGCTCCGCATCATTCGCCTCCATTAAAATTGTCATCTGTACCCACAGAATGAACTTGGGTGACACCATCATCAGGTGGAGCGTAAGCATAGATGTCCTTGACGTTGAAAGTGTGAGACGTATTGAACTCCTCCGGAAGATCAACGATATAAGCATTATCATTGATCTTACTGCTGATGGGAAACGGCCCCCATTTCTTTTTTCCCAGCTTTGAATACTCACCCACGGGTAAGCGTTCTCTCTTTAACCGAACAAGCACTAAATCTCCTGGCTTGAATAATTTCTCTCTTCTATGTACATCCACATCCCGTTTGTACTTCTCATTAGCAGCTTGAATTTTAGCTCGGATGCTAGATAAGAATTCCGTGTAATTGTCTACGAGTGCTGATGCCGATTTGCTCTTACACTTCGGCAGCACTGCAACATCAAGAACTATATTTGATATTTTAGTATAAACAATACTAAATGGGCACATACCAGTCGAGCAGTTCGTCATTGAATTGAATGCGAATTCTGCCTGGCCGAGTAATTCATCCCAAATTTTGGGGTTGTCTTGTACTAAACAACGCAATAGATTACCCAATGTGCGACTCACCACTTCCGTTTGTCCGTCGGTTTGCGGGTGATATGAGGAGCTTAACTGAATCTGCGTGTGTAACCTTTCCACAGCTCACGCCAGAAATGGCTGATGAATTTAACATCCCTATCAGACGTCAAGCTCCGCGGGATGCCATGCAAATGAACTATTTCCTGAAAAAACAGTTTGGCAATGTTGAGAGCGTCAAAGGTTTTCTTACATGCAACGAAATGTGCCATTTTTGAGAAACGATCTACAAAGACCATGATAGAACGTTTCCACGCTTGATTCTCGGCAATCCCATCACAAAGTCGAGACTTAAATCTTCCCAGATTGACTCCGGTACATGCAACGGCTGGTACAAGCTGGTGTTTTGTCCTCCCCCTTTGTATGTTTGGCACACTGAGCATCTCTCCACAAACTTCGATACATCACGTCTTAGGTGCGGCCAAAAAAATCTTTGCTGCAGCTGGATGACTGTATTATCACGGCCTAAATGCGCCGATAACCCACCCGCGTGAGTTTCCTTAATGATCTGTTGTCGCCATGAAGAACTAGGAATGCATAAAAGGTTTCCCTTAAATAAAAACCCATGGCGTATAGAATATTCTGTATTGGTTTCTTGTTTACAGCAATTTAACCAGTGTTCTTTAAAATATTCATCTTCAGAATATAAATCCTTCAAGTAATTGAGACTGGAGAACTCAGTCTGTAGCGTGGTAATGAGAGCAGCACTTCTACTTAGTGCATCAGCTACCCGGTTTTGCACTCCACTCTTATGCTTAAGCATAAAAGTAAACCTTTGAAGAAATATCACCCAGCGAGCATGCATCCGATTGATATTTTTCTGAGAATAGATGTACTGTAAAGCCTTGTGATCATTGCAGAAAACAAAGTCCTGGTGGAGCAGATAGTGTTCCCACTGTTTTAAAGCTCTAACAACCGCATACAATTCTTATTCGTAAACAGTCCAGCGCTGCCGTGACGGGCATAATTTTTCACTAAAGAACTCCACCGGTTTGCTGTCTTGCGATAATACTGCCCCAATGCCGATGGTAGAAGCGTCTGTGTCAACCATAAATGGCTTAGTAAAGTCAGGTAACACTAAGATGGGCGTCATTGTTAGTGCACGTTTGATTTCATCAAAGCTCTGCTGCTGCTCTTCAGCCCACGTGAACTGCGGTAATTTTAGCCCATTGGTGAATGGGGCCATAATACTGCTGAATCCCCGTATGAATCTTCGGTAAAAATTCGCCAACCCGTGAAAACTGTGAATATCTGTCAATGACCTGGGGGTTGGCCAATTTTTTATTGCAGCCACCTTTCCTGGATCCACGCCAATACCATTCGCCGAGATAATGAATCCGAGAAAAGATACACGCTCTGTAGCAAATTCACATTTGCGGCTGTTCAAAAAACAACTTATTCTTCCTCAATGTATCAAATATAGTTGTTAGGTGTTTGATGTGGTCCTCACTAGTGGCGCTATAAACTAGTATATCATCAAAATACACAACGCAACATTTGTTAAGAAATGGCTTTAGCACCTCATTCATTAGTCGCATAAACGTCGCCGGTGCATTGCACAATCCGAAAGGCATAACCTTCCATTCGTATAAACCTTGGCGTGTCTTAAATGTCGTTTTCCATTCGCCCCCGCTACGAATTCTTATCAGGTGGTAGCCACTACGTAAATCAAGTTTTGAGAATACCGTTGCCCCCGATAGTCTATCCAGCATATCCTCAATTCTAGGCATTGGAAAACGAAATTTAACTGTGATGCGATTAATGGATCGGTTGTCCATACACATTCTCCAGCTGCCGTCCTTCTTAGGCACCAACAACGCTGGCACCGCGCAAGGGCTCACACTTGATTGAATTAGCTTCTTGGCTAGCAGCTCATCCACTATATGTTGTAAGGCTTGGTGTTCTTTGGGGCTCATTTTGTAGTGAGGTAAGTTA